GGCTAATTTATTCCAAATCTAAAACACGAATTATCAAAGGAAAACGAATCCCCTCATCTCCAGATACATGTATCCATCTCCAATCCGTTATTTGCGATGATGCGAGTTTTAAGCTATATCATCTTAACCTTTAATAACAATATATTTTAACTTCAACCAGTAAACCCTTGAGAACTGACTTTAGCACCTATGAAGGCGTTAAAACAGGGGCACCTAACGAGAATATAGTTCAAAACCACTTAAACATAGCATTGTTGAACGCATTTTAGTATTCAAACCGTAGATATAGGCATTTTTTTATCCCCTAAAAATTTTTCATCTTTCGAATTTCCTAGCTGTAAGTCTAGTGATCCGAAAATTATAGGGATCAAAACTTACCATTCCGAAAATTTCAGTCAGGAAAAAGGCTTCCACAAATTCTAGGTGACCCTTTTAGGACCCGTTTAAAATGGGCAATCATATATACCATTTATTAGATGTTCGAAAATCCTAGGAGTGGCAGGCAAGCAAGAAATTTTACAACAAATGTTCCGAAAAATCTAGATCTCAAATCGTCTTCCGAACAGATATTTTCCAAAAATCGGCGTTGGGTGCCCCTGTTAAAAGTATTGACTATTAAACCTGCCTTGACTTTAACCTTTTACCCACAGAATGCATTTAGACTGACAAATTAAGGAAAGCGGAAATTAATTTTACCTTGACTTAAAGGCCAATTTGTATTCAAAAAGGAGCCAGTTGAACTTGTTTTAAGCTCTCAGTTTGCGACAAGGTATTCTTATGTACGTTGGCCGAATCGTCATCTAGTGTTCAATGAGGCCTAACTCCTCTAAGCATAAAAAAGTTATTCAAAAGTACGAAACCATAAACAGGCCTGTTTGCATAGATCAAGATGTGGAGCGATATTACATACGTCAAATATGACCAACACAAATATTAGGACAAGACTGCGGAAATTCTATATACAATGTTTTCCTTCGCAGTTGTTTGGAAATTCTCTATGGCAAAAAAAAAAGTCTTAAGAGGGCAGCTTAAAGTGTAATTATAGATAATGGAAAATACAAATTTATTCAAGAGATTTTCAAAATTCGACTGTTTATACTCTAATCGCCAAAGCATGAGACTAGCAAAAATATACTACGATCGTGCTTATCAAAGTTCACCTGCCAGCTTATGTAAAAGAGGCTCAAGAAAACGGAGGGAAGGGCATTGATTGGCATTTACTTTCCCCAACAAAACAAGTTGGTGAACCTATTTTAGGAACTTATATTAAATTCTGTCGCTCTTGATTTGCTTTTTACCAGCGTCTTATTATTTAGAAAACAGGAAAAAATTAAGCTAAAAAAAACAAGAAGTAAAAATGGCAGTCTTGAAGAGACCAAGAAATCACGAATTTCTACTTAAGACCCTTCAAATTTCTAAGAATAAATGTCATTCTTTACCATTATTTTCATTATTATTATCTTTATTAGTTATTATTATTATTATCATTATTATTATTTCTATTTTCATGAATGGTGATAATATTATTTAACAAAAACCACCGGAAATAAATTTTTCCAAGCAAAAGTGAACCACAGCATAAACACCATTGCATTATATCATTAATTGTCATCTGGGAAAAAAAAATCATGGAAATAGAGGTTATAAAATGGTAAATAAAAGGTAAATGGTACACCACCAAGATACATTCATTTGTTTTATCTGTTCATAAAGAAACTGGTAATTTGTATCGTACACATCAGCAACTTAGGAAGCAGGTACGCAACGTTGCATACCTAAAAATAAATTTGCGTTACTTTTAATTTTTGTCCGTTTTTTACTTCCAAATGTTACTGTCCCTCCAGAATAGCGACGTAGCGAGGCTGCTTGTCCTCCAAGCAAAAATAAAAAGATAAAATTTTGATAGATTTAACTTCTGTTGTTCTCTGATGTGTGTGGCGTTTTGTTCCCGTTTGGTTCTTGTAAAAGTAACTGACAAGTAAAAAAAAGTTACAAAGGTTTCGACAGCATTTCCTCTCCTTTCAAGACGCATCTGACACAACGGCCTCTTCCGGCGCCGTGCGCCTGAAGAAATTGTAACCTTTTACATTCAAATTGCCAATGACGGATAGAAAATGAAATAAAAAATAAATAATGCTTCAAAGAAAGAGCACAGATCTTTCATTACATTTCTCCTTTTTTTGTACTAGCCGTGAGATTACCCCTGTAATACGTCATCAAAATAGCCTTTTAAAATAATGGCACAAAATTCAAGATCAACCGGCTGAACTGTCATAAATCTGACAGTCTGAAAGAAAAACGATTAAATCTGTTAAATTATCATACGTATCTCTTCTTCGCCAAATGCTTGTAATCTCTTACACTTAATGATTCGGCTGAACAAAACTACATCTTCAACCCTCTATCCTACATGGAAAAATTTTGTAGCATGGAAATAATTTTGCTACTAGATGTTGAAGTAAAAAAAAATGCTTCAAAGAAAGAGCATAGATTCGCCGTTATATTTTGACATTTTTGTCCTAGCCGTAAGATTAATACGTCATTAATCTGTCAGCCTGAAAGCAAAACGACTAAATCCGTGGAATTATCATGCAGATCTTTTCTTCACCAAATGCTTGTGATCGAGTCCACTTAATAATGATTCGGCTGAACAAATTATAAATGCTGATAACCCAATTTGCCGCCATGGCAAGACAATTTTTACTAGCCCCTGAAAAGTTGGCACTCGGGGATCGCCTTGGCACGACCCGAAATCATGAAGTAACAGATTCCTTTCTCTGAAGTCGTTGTAAACTTTATTTTCAAGCATTATATCCGTGCCTCAAATAAAAATTTTAACTCATCATTAACGTTAGCTCTGTTTAAAGCTGGAAACTAACTGTTGGAAAATAGCATAGAATTGATAGCTTTATGTTGTTCCCCTTAAATGGATATATAATATATAATATATAAAATAGCACAGATGTTCATTTCTATGCCTCAACTTTGTAAGATGTAACGCATGCAAGTACGGTGTAAACGTATTTATCGAGCATCGTTTCTGTAAGGGATGCTATCGATTTTTCTTATTATTTCAAAAAGAGAGCATTAGATAAAAACCCTTATTTCCTCTCTTGAACCATTAAATGCAGCTCAGAGTTTTACCATGCGTTTAAACTTTCTCGAAGTAAAATATGGAGCATACCTTTTGTTGTTGTATTTATCGAGGAACGTCGAAACTGAGTTTAACGACTTGGGCAGAAATTGTTATTAATCATCCACACCGTGTCACCACGAACTCGGACTTACGCAATTGTCTTGATCGTAGGCAGCTGCATTTGCAAAACCTATGTATAACTGTTATGACTGTATTGTCGAGGAAGCTTTGTATTGTAGGAGAAGGTTGATTACATAGTTTATTGATTTAAACGTCAGCAGCTTTTAATTTGACTTAAAGATATATTCTGTTTACACACAAATACTATCCCACAAATCGAAAAGTTATAAGAATTGTTTATTTAAATGTTATGCTGCAAAATTAATAAATGAGTTTTATTTTTTAAGACTCTTTAACTTTTGTGAAAGCACCAATCAGTAAATATCATCATGATTTGAACAAACATGTCTTGCGGATTTCAATCAGAATGCTCAATCTAAATTCAAATGAGTCGTATCTAAAGTGGGATAAAACTTTCAAGTATTGTCGTCTATCAGTTTTTCTTGGTTTAAAACGTCCCGTGGTATATAAAGAAAAATGTTGTTCAAGACTGCTGGCCTTGTTTCTTCTTCGTTAATTTAGCAAATGGTCTGGGTTTGGAAAGCGAATGAGACTCTGTCTACTAAATTCTTTTCGCTTTAGTTGAAGGAGTGATGCAAACTAGATTTTAAAACAAAATAAGACTTCAAGCCTCTCCCCAGGAAAAATTAAAAGGTTGTTGACCTCAGTGCAGAACGGATGTTTGATAAATCTTTCATTTAAATCTCTGTCAGGGCGAAATTGTCATTTATGTTACTTATTTACAAACATAAGGAATCGGGTGGTCATCTAAGGACGTCGATGACTACAAATATACTTTTTCAACTAAAGAAAGCGACAATTAAAAATTAAAAAGCCATCAAGATGCAAATGACAAATTGATATAAAAGGCGTCTCTACCAACCTCAGTCTTATCTCTGCCAACAAAGAAACTGCAAGGAATCACATTCCCAAGATGAGTAAGAAAAAAAAAGTAAAAAGTATCAAATGATCCTCGAGTTATGGACGCCAGGAAAGAGATCTGCAAAAACAGTATGAACTCTACCAACAGAATCCCGAAGAAAGCGGGCCAAGGCGAGAAACTAAAAGCTAGCAACGAAATGCTTGAAAAAGTGTACCTTGATATAGCTGACAGTGAACTACACGAAGTCGTTGACGAAATAGTATCCAGTGACAAAAAACATAATTACAAAGCAAATTCGAAACTCGTAAACGAAGCTGGTATGATCACTTTAGCAACTTACTTGGTGTTGAATTCTCGGCAGACAGTAAAGATGACAACGTAAAGCAGATATTTCAAAACGTACCTATAGATGACGGCCTGTTCCCTTTGGACGAGTTTAAAGCTGTGAAGAAGAACATCAAAACAAGTAAGGAAGCTGGCCCAGACGGAATTTCCCTGGAGGTCTTAAAATACTGTGATTTGGATGAAACTGTTCCCGCAGTTTGCAATCAAGCTTGTTATAAACCTTGACAAGCCAGACCAGTGGTCAGAAAGTTCCCATAACGAAAGGCGGTAATCTTAGCCAAGTCAGCAACTACAGGGGAATAAGTTTATCCCAGATAATGCTCAAAGTTGTCAACAAAATGATATTAAATCGCATTCATCCCATCCTCTATCCGTTGCTACGAACAAAACAGAATGGGTTCAGGCCTGGTAGATCCACCACAGCAAAAATCCTGACACTACGAAGAATTATTGAAGCTATCGGAGCCAGAAATTTGCCAGCAGTAATTACATTCATAGACTTCAGAAAAGATTTTTATGCTATCAACAGGAGAAAGATGCTTCAGATTCTCAAGGCCTATGGCATCCCTACACGGTTGGTGGACGCCATTAGTAAAACCTACGAGGAAACAAGGGCTAATGTCTCCTCCCTTAAGGGTGAAACTGAATTATTCAAAATCACCACAGGGGTGCTACAAGGAGTACACACTAGCCCCTTACTTGTTCATAATAGTTCTGGACTATGTACTACGAGAGGCTATCGAGGGTCACCAGGAGAGTCTTGGGCTAACAATCAAGCCTAGACAAGGACGCACAGTTAAAGCCGAAAAAGTCACCGATCTAAACTTTGCAGACGACATTGCTCTTTTCAGCGATCAGTTTCAACAAACACAAGACCTAATCAGAAATGTTGAAGAAGCGTCGGTCTTCTACCAAATGCAAAGAAGACAAAATACACGTTCTTTAACCATCATGTTAATCCTGAGCTCACTTGCACAAGACGACGAAGTAATTGAACCTGTTGAGAACTTCTTCAAGTATCTTGATTCATGGATCAGTGACTCAGAACATGACGTCAAGGTCAGAAAAGGCTTTAGCTTCGATGACTTGCAATAAAATGAGAAGTGTGGACCTCAAAGCTGCCACGAGCAACAAAGATCAGACTGTTTAGAGCAACTGATCAGTCTGTCTTACTCTAAGGAAGTGAAACGTGGACCGTGACGAAGACGATGGAGAAAGGGGTTAATGGATACTACACCAGAATGCTAAAGCTGCCACGAGCAACAAAGATCAGACTGTTTAGAGCAACTGATCAGTCTGTCTTACTCTAAGGAAGTGAAACGTGGACCGTGACGAAGACGATGGAGAAAGGGGTTAATGGATACTACACCAGAATGTTGCGAACGACCCTGAATGTGCACTGGCAACAGCATATGAAAAACCGGGAGCTATACGGAAGCTTCTCAAGAGTTCGTGAAACATTCCGTGCGAGAAGATTAAGATTAGCCGGCCATTGTGCACGTCACAATGAAGAGACGGCTTCCAAAGTGCTGCTTGGGAACCCCAACATGGTCACCCGAATCGAGGTAGACATAGAGCTACATACACTGACACTATCAAGGCTGATACTGGACTGGACAATACCAAAGAGAAAAGAGATGCAACCAACCATTCAATCGAATAGTCATCCAAAAGACAAGGATAGGGTTGAATTTTGGCATGAAAAAGGTTTAAAGTGGTTGGATTCAAAACTATGGTGTGTCTTACTTGTAAGTGCTTTAGGGGGACACAATCAGCTGATGCACATGCGCATTAGATACCATTTCTTTGCTGATTTTCATGTCACAAGACACGTACACGCACGTGAAACAGCAAGTGAGAAGCACATCCGGAATATCTGAACAAACCTTGGGGAGATGAACTACAGAAATTGCAAGTCAAACTCATGATTATAAACCCTAAGTCATGCCAGAGCGCACATTTTTTGTGACTTTGTTGTATACCATTTCGAATTCACCGATTACAGAAAAAAGCCAAACATCGACGAATACTTCCGATAGAGGTGAGAAATGACACGAAGCCTGAATCATTGTAGAAGGTTCAAGGTCGAGAAAGTTTGATTTTTCAGATATATATGTAACGATTGTTACTGATTTATTTCTCTTGATATTTTGGTCAACACACGTCTCCCACCTCTTCTTTTCATGTTCCTTTAAATACTGGGTTTAACAGAATACATGATAAAATACTGTTATAGGATGGTAAAAGTTTGCTCAAAAAGAGGTTTTCAGTAAAATATTGACGATCGAATGAGACACCAGGCAAGATTGAAACATGTAAACACTTTTCAAGTAGTTTCCAGGTCAGCCCGGTCCCATAGCTGACTGTGACCCTTTAAGTGCCCCAGTTCCACTTTCATGTAATAGGAATTTTGATAGTTGCGCAATTTTTTATTCCGATTTTTATTTGCTTTACTTTAGAGAGGCAGGAATTAGAATAGTTTTTCTTGGTCAATTTTTTTGTAAGGAGAGGCTATAGGAGTTAAATCGAAAATAATAAGAACTGGTAGAGATGTGAAGTCCTTTTAATCTCAGCAGACAAAATCAGACTCAAGGTCCGCCTGTACTTTCTTTCTCTTTATGTTAGTTAGTCTGTACAACCCTTTTCAGTTTATTGTTACTGAAACATGACGCATTGACCCTTTTAAAGATACTCTGTTTATATGGTTACAGGCCAACAATGTCACCTTTCAGGACAGTTTTTACTGCAGCCAATTACCAGGAACATACTCTCTATCATCATTGACTGTTCAGACGGGCCACTTCACGAAATAACTTTTTACGGCTTGTTTCTCCCTTAGAGTGCCTATGAAATCGACACCTCCATGTCCATACTCAAAACCTCTGGGACAGTTTTTTTTTCCATTATGATTATATATGAGCATGTATCACAATTTTGTTCGGGTTCTTTGTAGTTTTGTTTTCCATTTCTGCTGCAAGCTTTATTCTGTCGTTTTTCATTGAATTTTGTCTCGCTAGTTTTCTACTTTTCAAAGTTTGTTATCAATGATTTAGCTTACAACCTCGCATAAACAACACGAGCAAGTTGAATTATGATATCGATTTTTCATTTCTTCGTTGATGTTCTTTTTATAACCAAATTCGCCTTTATTGATTAGAATTTCTCAATCTTCAATCCAGAACCTCGAGATTCATATGTTTAAATAGCTCTTTTACAAAGCTTTTGAGTAGTTTTGAGCACGCTCAGCTCGATTATTGCCGACCAAAATCTTAAATGGGAATTAGCAGTTGCAGCTTTTTTCAGATAAGAAGTTCTTTGATCCTTGTTCGGCACAAAACACTGGATCACGATTTATCTGCCAAGACAGATACATGTAACCCCAATTGTGATAATAAATGAACTAAAGAAAATGTTTCAAAGTCTAATTTTGCTTCCACTGCATTTTTTGACGCTCTTCATCAACACAAACACATATCTTGGAGACCGAATTAAAATCGTCCCGAAACTTTCGAGAATGAGAAAGAAATACAGTGAAACCCTGCCTTACGGGCACTCCGGTAATGTGGTCACCTCGTTATTATGGCCATTTTTTTCGGCCCTATTGTGGTCTATTGGTGACTGTATTAATGGGGTTCCACTGTAAACAAATTATTTACTGGCCTAGGTCAGTCCGTATGGAAATATTGCCAGTGTGCCCTCAGGCGGTCTTCCGCACGGACAGAGGCCTTCCCTCCCGGTCGGCAAATAACATAATCAAATTTATTTGCAGTTAGATCACTTGAAAAAAAAATTGTTATGATGAAACTAATTCTGAAGTACAGTGGAACCCCGTTTATAAGATCACCAATGGGCCAAAAAATTTTGCATATTAACACTGATTTTTTACCAAAGAAATGTATGGCAGTTTTTGCCAGGCGGCCAAAAAAAAGTGGCCGTAATAATGAGGTGACCGTATTACCGAGGTGGCCGTAAGGCGGGGTCTGACTGTACCTGTAATTAAAGATGCAAGTATCTGCCTACTATTTAATTGTCCCAATTGTTTTAAAGAAGCCTTGTTTTTCCTACCCTAATCTAATATAGGCTAAATCTAATTTCTTTTTTTGTCCGCAGAAATACATGTAGTAAACTCTCAAGCTTCAATGTAAATGAGTACCTGTGGTAATTACGCAATAACTGAATTGAGCCCTATAGAAGACTTCATGTTCGAAGCTAAGGTGGCGTCAGTTTCAAGTCAAATTAAAGGTAACAGTATAATAAAAAATATGTTGCAGTCTTCAGTTTTGTTTAGAAAAGTTTGGCGAGGGTGGAGTCTGAGCGGATATTAAGAGTACTTGATAAACGACCTTTTGGAAATAAAGCGCTCAAATTTATTGTTGTTTTCCTTTGGGGCTATAAACAGGTGATCGAAACGCACCTGGTAGATTCTGTGGTAAACAATTAAGGTTTTAATCCTGTCACTGATATTCTCTCTCCCGATAATTTAACTCTGAAGAGGAATTTTAAAATACGGGCTTTCGGTGGGTGGATTCACTAGTTTCGTGTGGACGGAAAGGTCTATTCATGTAAAACGAACCCGGGGGGGGGTGCTCCATTATATAAGCCATATTATATAGGTATTTGTCGCCCCAACGGGTAGGGTTTTTGCGCCTTTCTGGTCTGAAAACGGATATAGATTTTGCTCATTTTGGTCTGGAATCGGGTGTGGTTTTCGAGGGAACTACAGGAGTGTATGAACGTATTTATCGTTTCGATTCTAAATGAGTAAGAAGGAAAGAGAAATATGCGAATTCTAAATGTATTTGAAGAATTTTTTGTTTTCGCTCAAATGTAAGTAATGATGATATAATTTCTGCCTAACGGCCAGGTCTGAAAACGGGTGTGGAAGATGAATTTTTTTGGTCTGGACTAGGGTCAGGATTTGGAGAACCGGGCGGCACAGCCCAACCGAGAATTCCCAGGAGTACGCCCCGGGAAAACGAAGTCATTTTTTTCTATGCGGTTTCAAAAATATCCGGCCAGATTCATGTGGACGACGCCTTAATTTATTCCATGAGAATTCTCCTTGTTGTCAAGTCAAGTAAAAGGAGGCACAGTATACCGCACTAAGGACTTAGTTCATAAAATGGTTGCATTTAATACACTCTTGTTTTACTATAAGAATATATTTGTTAGAATATCGAGGCTAAAATTTGCGAAGGTTTAAGAATATTTTAAGAATAAACCTTAGGCTGAGGTCTCGAAAAAAAAACTTGTGTGTTCAAAAACTGTAAATACAATACAATTATATGTTTTCATCAACGTATTCCATTCTCTTAACAGCAAAACTTGCCAACAAGACGAAAAAACCTATAGTAACTATTCTAGATACCCCAATACATTCTAAAACGGAAATGTCAGAAGTTATAATTTAAGAATAAGACAAGAATATGTTCAGCCTAAAATCGGCAGAAAACAAGAATATTCAGCCTGGGCCGGAAAAAACAACATTCATATATTTAAAAAAAACATGAGTGTACTAAGATACCGATTATGCTTGTTTCAGTTTTTTCTTCAAAACAGCTGTTTTTTTTTCTTCAAAACATTTGTTTTTTTGTTTTTTTGTTTTTTCATTTTTCATTTGCTCATCATTTAACACGGAAAACGGAAACTCAATCCTAGTAAGACTATTCGATTGGTTGAATAAACCAAAAGATTAGGCTTGGCTATTCATGTTACTTTCATTTAAACACAATAATTTATTCTAAACGAGACATTGGAAGTTTCTAAGTTCTTTTCTCTCCATTTTCTCTCTCTGGAATTTAGGTAAGTACGAATACTTCTAACAAGGCAAAATGATTCTAGTGCTATAGATTTTAGGAAACCGGCCTTAAGTTCACCTTTTTTGGCCTGAAATGTAATAGTTTTCTTTTACAAATTAACCTAGCTTTGTCTTTATAAATACTAAACAGCGTAAGCGAGGAATCACTAGCGTGTCGGACCCTAGAGTTTTAAGACCTTTTTTTAACAATCCTGTTATTTTATACATGTATTATCTGTTTCAAAGTCAAATGATTGGATTGCAGGGTGTACTCAAGCGCATTTCCACTAAAAACACC